ATTAACATTTAATAAAATGAATGTTTAAATTTTAATTAAATAAAATAAAATGATTTAAAATTAAAACTCTAATTTATTTTAAAAGTTAGAATTGATATATAATTTTCTTATATAATATTTTTATTTTAATGCATTTTTGAAAAATATTTTAAAGAATTATACAATTATTATTATTTAATCAAAACAATTATTATTTTATTTTACATATATTTTGTATAATTAAAAAAAATATTTTAAATTAAAAAAATGTTGAAAATAAAAATCCAAGCGGTTAGATTTTGAATCTAGCGGCTTGGTGAGATGCCGTCACGGGCATGTCAGTATGTTAGACTGGTCAAAACGACCTAATTTTAGCAGGGTTAAAGTCAGCTGTAGTCCTTGTACTTTGTAAAAATGTTTATTACAGTCCCTCTACTATGGAAATGTTCAATGTCATCTCTCTACTTTCCTTACAGTATAAATTGTCATCCCTCTACAATACGTTTTTTGTTCCATCCTTAATTGGATGCATCCACATTTCTGTTACCTCCCATTAAATTTGACCATTAAATACGTAATGGTCAAACATTCAACTTTTCTTTATTAATTTTTTTCCTCTAACTTTTATTTCTTGCTCTTTCTTCCTCTCAACCATTTTCCCTAAATGCAGAAACTCTTGCCCTTCTTCTTCACCATCTTCACTAGTTCACCCACTCCTCTTCTTCACCAACTTTCTATCGTTCTTTCTTTCTTCACCATCTTCACTATAACCCACAAAACCCTAAGCCCAAAGTCACCAAAAATCAATCAAAATCGCCCAATTTTTCCCAAAATCGCCTTTCCCAAAATCATGTAAAATTGCTAAAAATCAGCTTGCCTTTTCTTTACCCAATCATGAAACCCTTACTCATCTTCTTCACTAGTTCACCCAATCAATTGCTCCTCTTCTTCACCCTTCTTCCCCAACTTCCTGTCTTTCTTTCTTTCTTCACCATATTCACCGTAGCCCACAAAACTTTACGGCCAAAATTGCCCAAAATTGTAAAAAATCACCTTGCTTTTCTTGACCCAATCACGGAATCACCCAACCCAGAATGTATTTGAGGAAGCTACTGTTAACCATGGATTTTCTTGTTGATTTTGGCTTGGTGAGAGCTATCGTTAATTGTTGATTTTCTTGTTGATTTTGGGTTGGTGAAATCTGTTATTAATTGTGGATTTTCTTGTTGATTTTGGGTTGATGATATTTGTTGTGGTATTATGGATTTTAATTCAATTAGTTTTTGTTTTATATTTTTGTAAAAGGATGATAAGCAATCTAGCCATACATGTGGACCACAGTGTCAATATCCATGTGAACAAAGTCTGGTTGTAAGTTTTTCATTTGGTTTGATGATGACTTTGATCCTCGAGTTGGATAACATGTTGTTGGGACAAGGAGCAAACACTGATAAATGAGGTCTTATAATTGAAAAGAGACAATCTGGACTTGCATAGAAAGATTAATGATTTGAAAATTTTGAACTCTGAAATGGAAAAAATGCTCAAGGATCATGAAATAGTTGCTTCGAGTTGGTTGAAATTGAAAATGTGTTTTGTTCAATATTGCTTATTTGGCAATTAAGTTGTGTTAGATACTTATCTGCTTTTGTAAAAGGTCTTTTTGTCTGCTTTTGTAATGGGTCTCTTAGGCCAAGCCACGAGCAATCTCCTATGTACTGCAAATGTGAAATGAAATATATGACTCTTTTTTGGCCATGTTAATTGGCAAAATATGTCAATCTTTTGAGCATTTTCAACTATATAAATGCAAGATTTACCAAAGTAGGCAAAAGATAACATTGTAAACATTGCAATTTCATTATAAGTAACTATTTGATTGTATAGGACATAACAAAAAAACATGACCAAACCAAAAAATACAAAAATGCAACAAAAGTGCAACAAATTAAAAGCATTGTAATTTGACGTATATTAGTCTTTGTAAACCTTGCTCTATTGCTTGCTTGTATCGGACATGACTTATAAAAAATAGAGCAACAAAAACAAAAATAGGGCAGCACATTATAGGCATTTATGTGCTCTGATTGTCCCTATCATAAACCATCATTCACAATATATAAACCATTAACTAGATAGCATTCACAATACTAAAACACCAAAATAGACGTCACTAAGTAGAGCACCATTTCATAGCATGCACAAAAGAAGTCATTATCCATCACCCCTCAATCACAAGCATTTTCACCACTCCCTTCACTGATTGCTTGCAATAGGGATCCCCAGTTTGTAGTCTCAATTTGATGTAGGCAAGTAGGAACAAAACTTTTTTTACCATGTATTTTGGCCCCATTCTTTTTTGTGCCAATTCCTGTTATCATTTTTTTGTCCTCGACATATCAAAACTAGAAAGAATAATACAAAAGCATACACACACAAAAAAAAAGGGGTCTTATTGGTCCCACTGGTAGACAAAAAAATTAATAAAAAAAAAAGTTGAATGTTTGACCGTTACGTATTTAATGGTCAAAGTTAACAAAAATTAATGGAAATGTGGATGACATCCAATTAAGGATGACATTGAACAAAAAAGGTATAGTAGAGGGATGACAATTTATACTGTAAGGAAAGCAGAGGGATTACATTGAACATTTCTTTAGTAGAAGGATGGTAATGAACATTTTCACAAAGTATGAGGACTACAGTTGGCTTTAACCCAATTTTAGCAGCCCAAAAAGATTTACGTAATCCGTTTCTATGCCAAAAAAAAAAAAAATGGTAAATTTTTATTTTCGAAAATGCTACATTGCACAAAAAGTTAACATTGTTCCCATCTCGGTCAAGAACAATGAAGTGAGCATGCGATTGTACATGCTCTTAGGGTAACATAATTTTTTTTATTCCTTCAAAAATAATTAATAACTGTAATTTATTTATTTAATATTTATAATTTATGTGTATTTAAATTAATTTTTATACACTTTAAGACTATTTTATTTTTCATTTATTGTTTTGGTTTTTTATAATTATTTATGATTAATAAAAAAGTTAATATCTTTTATTTAACAAAATAAAATTAACTTCTAAATTAATATTTTTAAATGTTATAACTAATTATTAAAAAAAAACAACAATAAACTAATAAAATAAACTAAATCAGATACAACTACTATATTATTTGTGACTTTAACATAAGGTTGTGTGACAATAATCAAGTTCTTTAGGAGTTGTTTAGTTAAGTTTTTTAAACTTTTCTAAATTTTCCTCTTTATAAAGTTATTTGTGTGTTTTCATACATAAATATTACAATAAAATAGAATAAAATTAACATTTTTAACATTTATTTTTTTTTACACTATTCTAAACTCTTTTAAAATTTTTTTCCCCACTCATTTTTAAGCGGAAAAAAATTTCCTCCAACTTTCCATACATATAACCTACTTAACAACTTTCCATATACGAATTTCTTACCAACAAATAAAAGTTATCAATAAAATTTACAACAAAACTTATTAACTTTTTGCATAGTACTTTACTAACTATTTTTTGGATAAAAACTTTCTTGACCCTTTAACCAAACAGGCTCTTAAAGCTATGGTTTGGGACCATTGAAGGGGTGTAATTGACTGATTGAATCACTCCAAGTTCACAAAGCTTAAGTCAAAGCTTGTTTAATATCCTGTAAATTATATAATTTAGGAGGTAATTTGTGTAAGAGTATATAAAGTTCACACGTGAATAGAGTTAACAGAAGTGTATAAGACCTCACATTAATAAAAAGTAAGGTGTTTAAGTACAATATATATATATATATATATATACATGGAGTGCTATTAACTGCTCCCCAACAAATTGATGGGTGAGGCAAAATTGGTTTCTATTTAAGGATTCTAGTTGATGTTTGTTAGATGCTTGTGATTGTGCATTATTATTGTTGTTGTTGTTGTTGTTAGAGTGTTTTAATTATGCATCTTCACATTAGCTCGATGCATTTAAGAAACTTAGTAGATTTAAACTTTTGAAATAGTTTGCAAAACAATACTTATTTATCAATAAATCCAATCATTGAATTGAGCAATTTTTAATAAATGAATCAAATGAGTGGAGAGAGGCCGGAGATTCATGCAGTGGCGGCGCCAAGGGGGTGCGAGGGGAGATGCTCGCCCCCCTTGAAATTTGAAAATCTGGCAAATCAGTATATAATTAGTATATGAAAAATTATTTAACCCCCCCTGAACTTTGAAAATTTTAGCATCTTGCCCCCCCTGAAGAAAATTTCTAGCTCCGCCCCTGGATTCATGGATATTACTTAGCCATCAAAGGTAATTTGTGAATGGTGTGGGTTTGTTTCTTAAGATGGTCATACAAGGATGATGCTGTTAATATTATTTTCCCTTAAAGTTACGACTATTATCATATTTGAAAGGAGAGTAGTGGGTTATGGCCTTGTGAATTTGATACATTCATTTGTACCTTTCAGATGAAGCAACATTTCCTTCCTGTCTTCTAATAACTCTTAGCAGGTACTGCTAACTCATTCTCTACTTCATGTTCAATTTATTCCGTATTTGGCCTATCTCAGCTGATGAGAATACCTATCTTCCCTGATGCTTTAAACAGACCCACTTTATACTTCATTCCACGATGAAAAATGGCGAGTTCCAGTTCCAGTTCATCATGACAAGAAACTTTGAGCTACTTGTTTTTTCACTAGCATTATCAGAACTTACCTGCCCTGCAATAGTCAGTAGAGGCTTCCCCCGTTCATGCAAGTGGCCGTAACCCAGGAGGATTGTTAACGATCATATATATGAAGCAGATTGCTTCAGATATACCGTGAATGCGCTGCAAATGCCAAAATTGATAATGAAGCCCAAGATTGAGGATACAGAGGATAGATTTCCTACCCTTTCAGCTACAAATATAAAGTTTCATTCTTAATCTCTATACACAGATATAAAAACAAACCAACAGCAACAACTTAATTACAGATCTTGGGCACATTTGAGCTGAGGTGCCCGGAGACTACTAATCTTTTATTGGCACCTTCCATCAAAAATTGACGAAAACAACTAATTTACTTCTCTTTTTATTCATCCCCAGTAAATGCTAATGCGTTCAATGGGAACTCAACTAACCACGTGTTATGGCTTCGAATCCAGAGTCAGCTTAGCGGCTTCCATTCCTCCACCACCCGACAGACCGATTCATACGACGACCCACTGACACCCAGTGCTTTTGTGGCAGTTTCCTTCAGTTCCCTAACCCGACGTCTTATTTCATCCCCTTCATCACCCTCCATCACCATTCTCACCACTCTCGCTATCTCTACCCGTCCCACCACCATCTGTCCCGCCTTCACCTCCGGTTTAACGGCTACTCCAGTATCCTCCGCCAGCACCGTTGCGTTCATTTTTTGCTCCGCGTAGAGAGGCCATGCTATCATTGGCACGCCATGAGCTATACTCTCCAATGTTGAATTCCATCCACAATGAGATATGAACCCGCCTGTTGACGGATGGCGGAGCACAGCCACTTGGGAAGTCCACGATGGTACCACCACTCCCACTCCCTGTGTCTTCTCTAGGAACCCTTCGGGAAGATACTCCTCTGGGCTATTAGTATCATTTCCCACATTGAAAAACGTACCTGAACCAATAACAAGAACTCAGCGGGCTCAAATTTAATTAATTACAAAAAAATATATATCTACAAATTCTAAATTCTAAATTTGTATATAATATGAACGTACCTGAACTAGAAACTTCTGTTGGTTTACGAACCACCCATATGAATCGTTGCCGACTTAATTCTAAACCCCAAGCAAACTCAATCATCTGCTCCCCTGACAACGTTCCACCACTACCAAGCGCTACAAAGAGAACAGAGTTCGGTGGTTGCTCATCCAGCCATGACATGTATTCCGCTGCTGATTCATCTTGTTCCTCTTGTTTAGTCACCGGCCCAACGGTGTAAACCGGCGGAGTCACACTCTTGAAGAATGGATTCTCTCTTATGGCTTTTAGAGGGATCGTTTCAAGATCTTCCCATGAGTTGAAAAATATACCGTCCGCCAAACGCCACCGGCTCACGTGAAACAAAAACCATTTGTATTCGTCACTATTTCTGTTATATATTACAAAACAACATATTTGTGTCAACAAGAGCTAGCAACAACTTGATTAATAAAATACGTAGTTGTGATAAGGTTAATTAGACAGAAGTCATCAAAGTTACAAAATTGGAATTTTGATTCAAAATATACAAGCATGCGCATCTACATGATCTTTCTACTTGAGTCCTTTTTGATTACCTGATACGCGCTTGATCTAGCAGATCTTCTATTCGGACAGGACTGCAACCGGGGACCTGAATCGGTTCAGGAAGATCAGCCAAATCACCCTCAACTGTACGGTCAAGCTCCACAAAATACAGGGAGAAGGCAAAGAAAGAAACAGGGGTAGTAACGAATGAGTACGCAGGAATTGAAAGTTCACGGCAAACATCGAAAGCCTGTGTGCTGAGAAGATCCACTATAAGAGCTTTTGGACTGCCTATATCCATCAAGACCGATTTTAAGGACCGGAGGCTCTCTTCTGTGATGGTACAGATGCGGGTTAAGATTTGCATCTCACTGTTGGTGACTTTATCAACGTCAACGGAAGGAAGGTGGACGAGGTGGAGATCGGAAGGGAGGTTTGAAGGCTGGAGGAGTTGGGCGTTTGCGGCTGATGACGAGGGGTCATCGGTGGTGGTGGTGATGATGAGGAAGCTGACCTGGAGGCCATGGTGGAGGACAAGGCGTTTAGAGAATTCGAAAAGAGGAATGAGATGGCCCAAGCCAAGACTGGGCAGCACTGCGACATGCGGTTTCATGGTAGGAGT